CGCCTGGAGCCCCCTGGAGGCGGACTTCGGGTGGGGGTGGGGTTCCGGGGAGGCCGCCCTCCTGCCCGAGGGCAGGGTGCCCCCGTTTCTGGAATTACTTTAGCGCAGATGTGCGGCCTGTAATGACCGGCCGGGGGGTGGGGTGGGGGGAGTAGATGCCTGGAGGTGCGGGGCAGGGGCTGGCCGCTCGCTGGCATCTCACATTCCTGCAGAAGAAATCGTGAGTCACTTGACAAGAATTAGGAAAAGTTGAGTGTGCTTTGCTTCGTCCCGGCGGCCGTGGAAATGCTCAGTTGTGCCCGTGGTGCCGAGGCTTGGCCAGTGGGCTGGGCCGTGTGTTGACTGGCCTGCCGGGGCGGGGGTCCCGAGCAGAGCTCGGGGAGGACGGCCTGGGCAGCCAGCTGGCGTGTAGTCGGCAAATGCGAGGGCAGCGCACTTGGATTGTAAGAAGTAGTTTTCCCTACGAGCTTCTGGTTTGTTTTTTCCTTAGGAAGTTAGTACCTCCCACTTTAGGGTAAATGACACCCTCAGCTTTAGTTGGGCGTGAGTTTATACTTTTTTCTGACAGATTGTGAAAAAGGAAATACTTAATATGTTTATACAATACGGCATAGCTGATACGTTATATAATGCTTCAGATGGTGTGTTCGAAATACTCTTAAGGGAGAATTCGAGGCGAAATGGAAACGTTTGCCGGAGCGGTCGTCGGTGGTGCGCACGGTGATCTGGAAGGTGGCCGACCGACTCAGGTCTGCCTTTCGTTTCCTTAGTGTCCTGAGTGTGGAGAGTGACGCGTGGATCATGAAGGTGGAATGAGTGACTCCACAGAGTAGGAGTTCACACAGCACTTTCGTAGGCAGAAGAAGTGGAAGGATGCTTCGTACGTCGGAGATTTAAAAGTGGGAATTAGAATTGGTGAAATATGTGGATGAAACAGGACTTGAAAGATTGACCTTCAGTGCTGAGGATTTAAGTGTCTACAGGTTGGGTGGTTAAATGACAAAGGGGTGCAAGCACATTTTGTTGGCTTCTTGTCCACTGGTTTACATACATTTACAGTTCTATGTCAGTGTATTACAACTTTAGAGAGGAACTACATATGAATGAAAGGTACTGCGTGTGAACAGCAACATTCTAAGCTGTAACTTTCACTTTTGTTGCAAATTGTTAAAGTATTTGAAACTGTTCCGGAGAAAGCCTGAGACCACTGGAGTGATGTAAATCCTATGCCTCTGGGGGGGGCTTTTTGTGCTTCACCTGGCCTCTGGGCTCCTCACCAAAACGTTTTAGAGAAAATAGGATGGAGGAGAGAGCCCATATATTATATTGAAATACAGTTACCAAAATATTGAACCAAATTGATGCTCAAGCTGCTTACTTGCCCTTTGTTAGATCAGTTAGTAACAGGTCAAGTTCGGGCTTTAGTGATTCCTTTTGGAGCAGTGACCAGCATAACTGACAGTTTGAAATTTCTGTAGTAACTCTAGTGCTTTGTGAAAATATCTGTAATTTCTCTTCGTGAAAAAGTCACAGGTACTGCTGAAACTCCAGGATTTCATGTCTTCCTTCATGATTGAATGGGTGCTAAATTTCAGCCAGAGATTATTGCAAATAAAGATGTGATGTTTTTTCTCATTCAGCTTCACGGAGACCAGGGTCTGAATCTGTGCACTCTCCACCATCCATTAGTAGGCATGTGTATGTGCCCTTGTTTTCCTTCCTCAAGTGGCTGTCCTGGTGGCTAAGGGGGTGAGGGAATAAAAGCAGTGAGTGCAGACGAGGGAACTCATGTGTATATTATAGCAGCCTGGGGTCATTGTCAGGGCTGAGGGAGCTGCAGCAGCCAACTGGGGAGTGCCGTCATATGCTCCAGTCTTATGCCACAACCAGATCAGTTACTATTTTGTCCTGGATGTGGAAACACAGTGTAGAAAAGGTTCAGTCTGGAAATTGTTAGAATCAACATTTAAGAGCCGGGAAGCCTAGTCATTTGGTCAAGGCCTGGCTGCAGAGCCTATCAAATGAGGCTACACCTGTCATCCCACCAGCCGTCCCTTGTTCTGGGGTGTCAGCCCCGCCGCTTTCGTTACTGTTTCTGGAAAGTTCATTCACAGAAGGCTGTGTGATACCACAGCAAACATGCTGTCTGCCAAGGTAGTTTGATGCCCGTGGCTTGGAAGTGCTGTGGTTCTGAGGGGACCTGGGGGGCAGGGTGGGGTTAGTGAGGGAGGTGGTCAGGGGACAGAGCAGGGTCTTCATTCTATCTAGGATTCCTTAGGGAAAAGTTTCTACAGTGTTTTCAAAATCTTCAACTGACCTACCAGGTTGCAAGACTAAGGGTTTGTGAGTAAAATTTTGGATTCGTTTTCTTGTCGTGAGCCTTCCTTTCAATGATCGGAGACAGCCAGCCCGCTGCCAGGCGCTGCCTCCTGTCACAGGTGGCTAAGCCGCTCCGCGTGGATCGTTGGTGCTCCTGTCTGGGGAGACCACTTAGCTTGAGGGGATCCCCACCACCCAAAAGGCACGTGCTGTTCTGTGCAGTCTCTAGCCGAATGCAGCCGTCCACGTGCTGGTGAGGCTGTGGGGCACATTCCCCGGAAACGCTTTTATCGTTTGCCATCTGCGACTGACACGTACAGGACGATTAGCTTGTTTCGTCAAGTCTCAAGGTGGCCGGGAGCAGGCTGACTTCAAGTCCAGGGGTTGAGGGTTACCCAGGAATAAGGAAAATAGGAATCTAGTTGGATCCCAGGGACCACTAGTGCTGGGCTTTGGGGCGCACAGAACTGGTTTGAACTCTGGCAGAAGTCTGGCCTTCCTGGTTCAGCTGGACTGTTGCTCTGCACACTGTTGATTGCAAGTTCTCTCCTCCCCGCAGCGTGGGGCCCAGCACTACCCGCCTCATCCTCTTCCTGTTTCCCAGGGTACACCCCAGACAGAGTGACTGAGCTCTTTCCCTCCACCCACCTTCCAGGCGCTGACTCCTGGGCTAGGTGCTGCCCTCAGGGAGGGCTGGGCTCCTGCCTTCCACACGACCACCCTTTTGCAGCGGGGTCTACAGTAGGGTTGGTTCACTTAGAAGGGACTATGGATTGGGAGTACTGTGATGCAGGTTCCAGCCAGAACAGTCTGATCAGACTTTTGTAAAAATAATGCTTAATGAGAGCTTGGTAAGCTCTCAATATATGTTGTTTTATGTTGTCTGAGATATTTTATCAAGGTTTATACTTTTTTGCATTAAAAAATTTAGGAATTTAGCTTTGCATTCTTTTAAATTGTGTGTTTATGTGTTCCCCCCCCCCCTCCCTCCCAGGATGTACTTTAGCAGAATTCTTTGCAGCATAAACGCAAACACTTCTGTGATTCTGTAGGGCAGGGGTTCTCAACTGTGGGACTGTTGACATTTGGGGCCAGATACTTCTGTGTTGTGGAGGCCGTCCTGTGTATTGTGGGATGTCAGCAGCATTCCTGGTCGCTATCCACCAGATGCCACTGGGACCCCCACTTCCAGTTGTGATAACCAAAAATGTCTTCAGACATTGCCAAATGTCCCCTGGGGGAAAAAGTCACCCCTGGTTGAGAACTGCTCTACAACAGCATTTCCCAAAATGTATTGTGTGGAACCTGAGTTTAATGGGATGTGCATCCATATTTACGTATTAGTTATTTTGTTTTGTATTTTTAGTCAGCATTATTATGTATGTTTCCATGTACTTATATAACTCACATGTTTCTCATTTTAAAAAATGTATCAAAGATCTCCACATAATTTTGTGATTCTTTTTTTTTTTCTGTATTGTTTATGGCTGTGTCTGATGTTGCAGAGCCTTTTGAGCATTTAGGTTTTGATACTCCCTATGTTTTTTTTTTCATCATTCTCTGGCCTACCAAGCTTAGCGCTAGTCAGATCACAGGGGCTGTGGGCAGAGGGATAGTGCTCCTGGGTCCATTTCTACGGTGCTCTGTCCCCGAGCACACAGTGCCTTGGGAAGAAAGATTGTCTGTGTGAAAGGGCCCTTGCTTTCATGAAGAGTTGGGGTTCTTATTTTTTCCTAAAACCATACCTTAACTCCTAACAAGTCCATCGTGAAAGTTTTGAGTGTCGGTTTTTAATAATGTCGATGATAGTCACCGTCTGAAAAGCAAGGGTGTGAAGAAATTTAAAATTCTACCAGCAGTCTACTAAGACCATCCAGCTCAGAATTTACTAAAACGGATTCTCATACCATTAAATCACCTTTGTTATTGGAATTTTGCTGTGACTTTAATGGACATTTGGACCTTTGGCTTGGAAATGCTTTTTTTTTTTTTTTAAATACAGACTTTGTCTTAACAGGATTTAGTATCTGATTTTATTTGAATATTAAACTTCTAGAGGCACCTCCCCAAACCTTGTTTGAAAAATAAAGTGATTTCTTGACGAATGTTTTCCTCAATATGAGTTGTTGACTGAACATGTCCCAGGGATGGGGCATGTGAAGCCGGGATGGAAGGCGGCCGACAGGTGGCTTGAGCTTCTGAGCCATAGGCACTGAAGACTTCCCACACTCAAAATGAAAACTCCTTGGACCGCAGTGACAGTTTCCTGAAAGGTATCTGGGAAAAGATCTCTCTCTCTTTTTTTTTTTATATAGAATTTTGACAATTTTCTTGGATTCCTTAACAGCTTTCTTGCTTTATTAATAAACAGGTTTCGTTTGAAAAAGGATCCTCGGTTAAATGTTTTGGGGAAATATTGGTAACCAAAACGAAAAAAGAGAAAGAGGGAGAGTTGTAGTTTGCCAATGTCTCACGACTGTTGCTCTTGTCGGCAGTCCTGTTCTGGCTGTGTAACCGGCTCTCAGAGAGACAATAAACCTGAATTCCCCTAGAATTTCTGGCATTTCTCTGTCAGTGGAATTGATCGTGCTCATTAGTTAAATAAAGCAGCCTTTGAGAGCAGCTGTGAAGTTGCCCCGCTGGGAAAGTAAACCCTTTGCTAAGTCTGGCAGCCAGGGAGGGATGGAGCATCGGGCTTGTTTGTAGATTCACTGAAAAATGCAAACGACTTGATGTCACCAAAACTGAGTTAGCAAATTCTAGATGGGTTAAAAATAGTATAGTTCAATTTTTGAAGTATCACATGTCTCTTTGGACAGCTATGCCTTTAGGCCAGGGGTTGGCAAGGGATCCCGCTGAGGGCTCTTCTTGTTTGGCCCTGGGGCCATATGTTCTACATTTGAAAGGGTCATAAAAGCAGGAAAGAAGAATATGTAATGAAGACAGTATGTGGCCTGCAAAGCCTAAAGTTTACTGTCTGGCCTTTTACAGAAGAAGTTTGCTGACCTCCACTCAGTTCTCACCTGAAACACTGGAAGTCAGTCTGGATCTAAATGGATAAAATTGCATAACTCTGTTGGGGAAGTACGAATAAGAAAAGGGAAGAAGTAGGATAGTTTCCCTTGGTGGACTGCACCCTGCTGGGACTGGTCTATGATATCAGTGTAAAAACACGGCCTATGTAAATAGCTCCTAAACCAGAATTAGAATCACGAAGGCCTCCGTGTGACTACATGCTGGAAGCTAAATCTAGAAGTCTGCTGTAGTGACTAGTTCCTGTTGCTTCTGTGCCCAATTGTTCTTCTCTTCTTGGTATCTGAGCCCTGGGAAACCTTCCTTCGCTGATGAAGTCAGTATATAGGGTCGAATTTTCTCATGGGTGCCACCGCCTGGCCCAGAAGCAGTCTGGGATCCCGGATGCTGCTGGGAAAGCAAGGAGGGTTCCTTGGTCAGGCACCTCTCCTATGGGCAGCACTCTCAGCATTGGCTGGGCTCTGGGCTCAGGAGCGCTGGGTGTGAGGGCCAGTGGGCCCCGGGCCGGGCTCAGGAGTGCGGAGCAGGGTACCGGGGAGCGGCCGGCCAGGCTCCAAGGGGCTGGACTGGGGTGGGGTGGTCTTTAGTTTGTCAGGGCTTCTTTTTTCTTTCTAGAATTCCTGCCCCCCCCTTTTGTTTGCTTGTTTTCAAATTTCTTTCAGCATTTCTTTTGTAAAAGGAATAAAAAAGGGGACTAAAAATCTTCAGCTCTTTTATGACCGCTGTTTTCTCTTGAATGTTTTGACATGTCAAAATAATGTGAAGTTAACTTGCCTGAGGATGCACTTTACCTATTGTTTATTTAAGTGTTTGTTTCTCTGTTTCAATTTTTTTTTTTAAAGATTTTATTTATTTGACAGAAACACAGCGAGAGAGGGAACACAAGCAGGGGGAGTGGGAGAGGGAGAAGCAGGCTTCCCGCTGAGCAGGGAGCCCAATGCGGGGCTCGATCCCAGGACCCTGGGACCATGACCTGAGCCGAAGGCAGACGCTTAACGACTGAGCCACCCAGGCGCCCCTCTCTGTTTCAATTTTAATGCCAGTCCAGTATATTCTAAGAATGTAACCGGTACCTATTTTAAATTTTAAAAATCACTCTATCATTATGTCTGTTATTTTCCCTGTTTTTAAAAAAATTATTGTATGTGAATTGACCTCCAAGTGGATAATTTAGTTACTTGGATGTTCATGGAGTAGAAAACATTATCCCAGTATCTCTGCCTTCAAAGCTTAAAAGAATGTTTTTCTAATGTAATTTTTTTCATGTAATAAATAATACTGAAAATGATTATAGTGCAAATAAAACATTTAAATATTTTCTCTTTTTAGTTATGTTCTTGATAGGGTATCATTAAAATTATCTGAAATCTGTCTAGTCAGAATAATCAGATGTTCAGAATAATTATTGTAATATGTGTTACTATGTCTGATGTGGTTCCTCATTAAAAGGAGGCATCCTAGTACTGTACTATGAGCATATAGAATACTAAATGTGTCTATGTGTACATATAGTTTATACAGGTTACATGGCATTAATTGGGAATGAAGCATTATAGCTGAGAGAAACCCACAGATATAAAGTTTAACCTTTAAATGCCCCAAAATTCATTTTAAGGGGTTAAAAAATGTTCTAAAATGATCCTAGATGTGTTTGCCTTTACAGACTTGTGTATGAGCCTGTAAGGACAAAATGTCACAGTCCCTACTGCTAAGGAGGACAAACTCAAGTGTGGAAGTACAGTGAACATAAGTTTACATTTCGTTGATGCAGGGAGGACTGTTAGAGACCTGGATTGGGATGTTGGTGTTAGTGTTGGTTTGAGGTAGTGTGAGAGCAAGCAATAGAAGACCAAAGGTAGGCTGTGGAATTCTCAAAGCACTAGAGGGAAATGGAGCGAAGAAGAACTTCACTCCAACGAAAGGGTGTGTTAAGAAGAAAGAAGAGGGACGCCTGGCTGGTGGCCCAGTTGGTGGAGCATGTGACTCTTTATCTCGGAGTTGTAAGTTCGAGCCCCATGTTGGCTGTAGGGATTACTTAAAAACTTAGAAAAGGAGAAGAAGAAAACAAGGAGGTTTACTTGGTGTTATTAAAAGCAAACAACTAATATAAGATGGCATGAATAAGCCCAAATATATCGGTAACTACAATTAACATAAAAGGGTTTAAATCTCCCAGGTGATAATAACTCCAGATTTAGGAGAAAAGTGAAATCTAGTTAAATGCTGTACATAAGTGATAACGTCTAGAACACAAGAGGGTAGGAAACTAAGGGATGGGAATCACTATCAATCCTAACAGAAAGAAAACAGGTCTAGTAACATTAGGCTGGACACAGCTAGACTCAAGTTACAGAGCACTAGGGGAATATGTCATATTACTCAAAGGTGTGATTAATAATCATAAACTAATGTAACAGTAAAACTTTCCAAAATAGAAGTTGACAGTTGTATACGTAAAAGGGAGGACTCTAATGTGACTCTTTGCAAGCTGCAAACCAAGTAGACCCAAAAGAAGAAAGGATGTGGAGGGGGAGTTCTTAGCCTTCCCCTGTTGACGTTTGGGGCCAGATCATTCTTTGTCAGGAAGCCATCCTATGCGCTGCAGGTTACTGAACAGCATCCCTGGTCTCTACTCACTAGATACCAGTAGCTACTCATCTCCTTAATTGTGATAGCCAGAAATGTTTCTGTTTATAGACATTGCCAGATGTCCTCAGGGAGCCAAATTGCCTCCAGTTGAGAGCCACCGATATAAAGGATTTAAATAATGTGGCCAATAGATATGTATAGGAATTTGTACCCAACAAACATAATATAGATTCTCTTCATTTACATGGAACATTTAACAAAAGTGGCCACATGCAGGCCACAAAGAAAAACCCCAAGTTTCAAAAAGTAAGTCCTATGGGCCAGGTTCTCAGACCACAATACACCCTAGTTAGAACCTAAGAGTGAAAGAATAGCTAAGAATTACTCCCTGAAAATGTTGAGACCCCCTTCATTATATCTCTTAGATTAAAGAGGAGATCAAAAACTATTTTCAGACTGCATAAATAAATGGCAGAGGGCTACATACCACAGTCATAGAGTCAGGCAGAAACAGTTATCAGGAGAAAGAATGCATTAGAGAACAAGAGAAGTAAATGCATTCAGCTTTCAACTCAAGAAACCAGGAAAATAAGTCAAAGAAAATAGAAGCAAATCTATTTTTGCTTTTTGCAAATCTTATTAAGAAGACATGAGAGCACAATATTTACAAAAGGGATATAACTGCACATGTGGAGATTTTTATAATTTTTTTTTTTAAGATTTTATTTATTTATTTGACAGAGAGAGAGGCAGCGAGAGAGGGAACACAAGCAAGGGGAGTGTGAGAGGGAGAAGGAGGCTTCCCGCGGAGCAGGGAGCCCGATGCGGGGCTCGATCCCAGGACTCTGGGATCATGACCTGAGCTGAAGGCAGACGCTTAACTGAGCCACCCAGGTGCCCCGTGTGGAGATTTTTAAATAGGAATACGCCATGTACAATTTGATGGCAACAAATTTGAAGAGTTGTGGATGCTTTATGAGGAAGACCTAAAATGACCATAATTGACCGTGGAGGTGGAAAACCTGTGCAGACCAGCAACTTTAGATGAAATTGAGAAGGTAGTCAAAGATTTATCTGTTTAAAAAGACACTAGGAACCATTGTGTTAGGTCAAACTTTGTGTTTGTGTAAATTGTAGTGACCATTAACTAAATAAAAATCTGTATGTCATTATGTTACATGGTCAACGTTTTCAGGGTAAAGAGAAGATACACAGTATGAAATCAAAGTAGTTAGGTAAATACCCTGTAATCCCAAATTTGCATTGTAGGTATTAGTGTTAATTCGTTTTGAAAGAATTTTAATGAGAAAACATTTCCTGTGTCCCCTGAAAAGCCTAGAAACAGTGACCAACCAGTAGCAGTGAGCACCCGTGGCACCTAGATTGTGGTCTCTACGTGTCATTTCCCACTGAAAGGAATCAGAACCCCTTGGATAAATGGCAAAGTCAGAGTTTGGTGCAGAAAGTGAACAAGATGAGCATGGAGTAGCTTGTTTTACCTGAAAGCAAGAAAGCTATTGAGAATTAGTAGGGTGTGTTAAAGGCTCTAGCAGGGAACTAAAGGGGCTTGCATTGGCCAAAGATGGGATAATTTGGAACATCAAAAAATATATACATTTATATAAAACCTTATTTATTTTTTAAATGTTCAAACCCACGAGATATAATGTACTAAAAACAGCCTCATTGATCACTATTGGAGAATGCTGGGGAACCACCACATTATTCTGAAAATTGATAACCAGAGGGAAAGAAGCAAGCCTTAAGGAACCCCATCACTGGGGCTGCAGTGTGGGGGATGGACTTCAGGATGGGGTCGGGGTTGGGAAGAGTGGCCATGGGAAGTCAGGAAATGGAGATGTGAGGGTGCTGCTTCACCCCATTGGTGGGGTGATTGTTTCTGTAAACTTGTTGAATCAAAGTTAGATGACTCTTCTCCAAAGTGAAATTCTGGAAAATAATCTTCACAGTTGCAGTTAGAGTCTTTGTTACCCAGAATTTTAACCCTTACATGCTTATGAGTAGTATCAAGAATCCTTCACACGCCGTCAATATCGGTTTGCTACAGCGTGTATTTCCTACAGGTGTTGATGAGGCATGAACAATGAGTTCTTTCCTTTTTAGTAATTTGTGTTGTGGTATTTTGGAGACGCCTGACTTCTACACCTTGACTGTGGGAGGTGCCACTTCTGCTCATAAGCACCAGGCTGTCATTTTGTTTTGACTCTCGTTAATGTTGCGGAGCAGTTAGGCGTGTGGGCAGCCTCAAGCGTTACATCCTTGCTCTGGTTGGAAGTCATTCCTGTTTGCCCATGGATCACTGCCTTCATCCACGCTCAGTGTTTCCCATTTTGAATGACACCTTAATTCATAGATTGGATTCATGAAATTAACATGTAGGCATCAAAGTTGTTACCACATACCGTACTGATTTCCCTGTAAGTTCTACAGTTACGTTAGAAACAAGGTTATTGTATTCTCAGAGACAATGTGTCAAAGATGCAGCAGGGCCTAGGAGCCAGACAGACTGACCTCAAAGGTGTTTAACCTCTGAGGACCCTGTTACCAATTATCTACCAGAGTGTTCTGGTTAACTACTAGTGTGAACCCGATCACCCCATAAAACAACCATTTCATTATGCTCAAGGCTGCGTGGGTCAGGAATTTGGGAAGGGGTATAGTGGAAATGGCCCATCTTTGCTCCACAGTGTTTGGGTCCTGAGCTAGGAAGATGCAGGCTGGCGGTGGATTGATGGCTGAGGGCTGGAGTCTTTGGGAGGACTTTTCTCAAATCATTTCCACTGCCTTCTCGTTCCAAGTGAGTCACTAAGATCAGCCCAGATTCAAGAGCAGGGGACAAAGACCGCCCATCTCAATGGGAAGAGTCAGTGAATTAGGGGATATGTTTTAAAAGTGCCTCACATACGTCTTGACATACGGAGTAGACATTTAGTTGATATTTCTTCTCTCATTTTCCTCTCTCTACCCTTCGTACAAAACGAAGAGTGAGCCTCTTAGAACAAATTTTCCATGCATCCAGGCGTTGGCATGGGCTACGTAAATAGGATTGTAACACAGGTTTGAGACAGTGTTCTTCCAAATCTGTAGAGATTTTATCTTTTGAGTGCTTCTGCCTTCGCCAGCTCGGTCATCAAGAGTCACCGTGCCCATATGGCTGACCGAGAGAGCGCGTGGTTGGCGGGTACAGTGTGCTTGCAGAGTAGCGCCAAAACCCAGTTTCACCAGCACTTTGCAGGAATTGATGGAGTTCAGAGAATTTTGTAAAAGCATCAAAATTGCAAAGTTTTGTGCATTTTTGGTACTTCAAGCGCTGGCAAGTCTAATGTCTTATTTATTCTGTTCCATTGGCCTGTTAATTTGTTCTTGTGCCATTGCCCATGTTTGGTTGTTACTGTGGCCTCGTAGGATATTTTGGAAGTTGGTATTTCTTAAACCTTTCAAGAGTAATTTAGCTATTCATGGACCTTTATTCTCCCATATGCATTTTAGAATAGGCCGAGTTTCTCAAAAACGACAGGAATCTTGATTGGGATTGCAGCACCATGACTTACAGATAATGACATGTGCCAAGAGCAACGGTAGGCTGTCCGTGAACTAGCAGAAGGAGAGGCAGCCCAGCGAAGCCGGCGGGGACAAGGTTAGTCTGCACAAACTGGGGGCATTTCTTACCCAGCAGTCCAGCAGAAAGAACAGTAGCGAGAAAACCCACAAGATATTTAGGGATAAATCTAACCAAGAATACGGTGGGCCTCCACGGAGACCATCAAACTTCATAGGGGATGCGGGAGGGGGCCCCATGCTCTTAGATGGGGTGACCTGGTACTAGAGAGATGTCTCCCATCCAAGTACTAACCAGGCCCGACCCTGCTTAGTAGAGAGATGTCTCCTCTCCCCAGATGAATCCATAAATACATTTCTGACATTGTTATAAAGTCGTGTCTTGACAGCAGGGACCTTGTTTTGTTTGCATCTCCATCCCCAGCATTTAGAACACAGAGATGACCTGTGGTAAATATTGGTGGACTGAATGAATGCACAGCAAATGTGTGCCTCCCTTTCCACTGGACAGTTGCTGGGAGCCCTTTCCAGGCCACTCTTGGATGTAATCATCCTGTTAATGATTGATGACGGGTGACTATAATTGACTTCACCATTCCCCTGTGGATAACATATAGGTTCTGTTTCCATTTTTTATCAAGGTGGCTAAAAAACATTGTTAGCATCCAGCTTTTCTTGCTGTGAGTTTTTAATGCCCTTTGAAGTGAGGCTTTTGAGCATAGAAAAGATTATTTGAGATTATTTTATTTTATTTTTTAGATTTTATATATTTATTTGAGAGAGAGAGAACAAGCAGGGGCAGGGGGAGAAACAGACTCCCCACTGAGTGGAGAGCCCGATGCGGGACTTGATCCCAGAACCCCGAGATCATGACCTGAGCTGAAGGCAGCCGCTCAACCGACTGAGCCACCCAGGCGCCCTTGAGAGATTATTTTAAATTGACATTTTTTAGGCCACAAAGTTATGGGCCTGTTCTTTTCTTACAGTTTTATGTGGACTTTACAAATTTTATTATTCTCTGTATAACTTGGTAAATTTTAACCTTCACTTTAAGGTAACCTTTGATCAACTCAAGATGATCAGACTATATCAGTTTAAAAAAATTTTTATTTGTTTATTTGACAGAGAGAGAGAGAACAAGCAAGGGGAGCAGCAGAGGGAGAAGCAGGCTCCCCGCTGAACAGGGAGCCCAATGCGGGGCTTGATCCCAGGACCCCGGGATCATGACCTGAGCCGAAGGCAGACGCTTAACGACTGAGCCACCCAGGCTCCCCTAATACTTTTTTTTAAAAAAGATG